GTAAAGCTGTTGGAAGAACTAGAAAAGCGAACCGAGCGAATCGCGTTGATCACGCCACTGCCGATGGAAAACCTCGGCCCGCCGCTGCCGAATCCGGAAGAATACAACGCGAACGTCAAGCTTTATGCCGACGCGATCGAGCAGTTGGCCTACGACCGTGGGCACCATACGCTTCGCTTCGGTGATGCGGTGGCGAACTATAAGCCCAAGACGAACAGCGAGCCGAAGCATTTGACCGACAATGGCATGCACCTGACCGAATTCGGTTATTGGTACGTCGCCCCGACGATGGTATCGAGCTTGCAGAGTACATCGCTACAGCCGCCACTAAAAGCGACATCGGGCGATCCGCTCAACGCGTTGAAAACCGTCGCCATTCCCCTGCCCTATGCGGCTTCTCCCAAGGGTCCGGCTCCCAAATCTATCGCGTGCCAGCTGCCGACGCTGCAAGAGGGAAGCTACACGCTGAAGCTGTCGGACGCATCCAAGGTGACTGCGTCTGCTGAAGCATGGAAAAAGGGCGTCGATATTCCGGCTCAAGATTTGTACGCCAAGACAGAAGCCCTTCGCCAAACGATCTTGCGGAAGAATCAGCTCTTCTTCGATCGCTTCCGACCGCAGAACGAAACGTATCTCTACTTGTTCCGTAAGCATGAACAGGGAAACAACGCGGTCGAAATTCCGCAATTCGATCCGCTGATCGAAGCGCAGGACAACAAGATATTGGAACTCAAACAATCGGTTCAAGCAGCCGTGCAGCGCGACTGATCTCGTTTCGAGTCTCCTCCCCAAATCATTCATTCCATTGAGATAAGCCTACCTATGTTTCGTTCTGCTTTTTCCCTGCTTCTGCTGTTTCTCGCCCCTGCGGCGGTGGCATTTGCCCAGCGTGATCTGAAAGTCATTCCTGATACCGATCCGGCCGAAGAACTGCGATCGTTCACCGTCGCCGATGGCTTCGAGGTCAACCTGTTTGCTTCGGAACCGATGATTGCCAGCCCGATTCAGATTAACTTCGACGCCCAAGGCCGCTTATGGGTCGCCTCGAGTTCGGTCTATCCACAGATCGAGCCTGGCCAGGTCGCCGACGACAAGATCTTGATGTTGGAAGACACCAACGGAGATGGCACCGCCGACAAGTCGACTGTG